ACTTTTGCAAGTTTGAGGTAAGGAAAAAAAAGAATATCACTCGGAACAAATTACATTCACAAAATTTTACATTATTCTCATTCAGAAGACACAGGTAATCTTTCCAAAGTGTCAAAGACATGCCTCATTGATGGTCTTCTATCAGGACTAGTTTGTATGCATGCCATTGCAATCTTCAGAACCGCGATCATCTCCTCTTCTTTGTCAGCATCGTCAGCTAAAAAGGGATCTAAAACATCGGATAGAGGTTTTTTCTCTTCAATGCATAGCTGCATCCAGTGAACAATGTCTATTTCAGAGGTGCCTACCTGCACTAGAGGTGATTTTCCAGTAATCATTTCCAGCAGTATCACGCCATATGAGTAGACATCCCACTTCTGTGATGGCTTGACCACTTTCAGTGACTCCGGGGCTTGGTAAAAGGACCCAATACTTGCAGCGGAAGCAACTGTGCCAACTTCCGAAGGTGCACTCCCTTGTTGCCTTTGTTGTGGCTTCTCTGAGATCATTCGACTTGACTGCAGGGTTGGGGATCCTCCGGCAATGTTAGCAAGACGTCCAAGTCCAAAATCAGAAATTTTAGGTTCCATATTTTGACCAAGCAAGATATTAGATGGTTTGAGATCTCCATGGACATACTTCTTGGGACTATACTCATGCAGATAAACCAAGCCTTTTGCAATTCCTTTCATTATCTTCAAGCGCATAGACCACGACAGAGGAGTAAAGGATACCATTCCAGGCTTTCCTGGGAACAAAGTTCACATATGAAGAATTTGAAGACAAGATGAGCAACACTGTTAAGAAGAAATATTGAAAAATAAGAATAATTCGCTCCGAGTTGTGAAGTGTTAAACTTACCATGAATTGCAGCAGTAAGGTTTCCATTTGGAATGTAATCATATATCAGTAGCTTCTCATCCACAGACCAATAATAGGCTCGGAGGGTTACTATATTAGGATGCTTTAGCTTTCCAATTGCTTCAACTTCAGTCTGAAATTCTTTAAATCTTTGTGAACCACCTTCACCAAGTCTTCTCACTGCTAAAACATGCCCATCTTCAAGCACGACCTTATATACAATGCCAATACCACTCTTGCCTAGCACAAATGCAGATGCCTTTAGAAGCTCGTCTAGATCAAATGCCACCTGAGTGTCAAGTGGCACTAGATCATACTGCTCCACATTTTCTGATAAAGTTTCTGATTCATCCTTCCTAAAGCATAAACACTCCTTCCCTCGCTTGCCTCCCTTCTCAAAACCATAGCCATCAACCCTCCTTTTGCCACAAGGACACATCTTTGAATAACAATACGAAAACAGCAAGCCAACCATGCAAATTCCAATCACATCACACACAACAATTGCAATTACAGCACTTTTACTGAGCCCTCTTCCTCTGCTACCATTCTCATCCGTCCTTTGTGGAGGGTAGTTATTAGGCAAGGAAGGATATGAAGATGGCGAACTTGGTCCACTGTCTGAACAAGGATCTTTCAATGGAGGGCCACAAAGGCCAGGGTTTCCAATAAAAGCAGTTGGCCCTCTGTTAATTAGAGCACCATTTTGTGGAATAGGACCACTTAATTTATTATAGGTGAGATCAATATAAACCTTCTCAGGAAGATTACCTAAGCTAGGAGGGATTGAGCCATCAAACATATTATGAGACAAATCAACAGTTCCTTGTAAATTAGTTAAATTTCCAAGATCACTAGGAATTGAACCGCTAAAGTTGTTATATGCAAGATCAAGTTTTTCCAACAACACCAAATTAGTCCCAAATCCATGAGGCAAAGGACCAGTATGATTATTGTGACTAAGGTCAAGGAAACTCAATCTTTTACATTGAACAAAAGAATCAGGCAGTGACCCATTAAAGAAATTCTCAGACAAACCTAGAGTTTGAAGGTAACTAAGCTTCCCTATTTCAGACGGTATCGGCCCAGAAAAGAAATTCCCAAAAAGAACCAAACTTTTCAGCCCCTGAGCTGCAAAGAGCTCACCAGGTAAGCTGCCAAATAACTTGTTATTCCTTAAATTTACGTGTCTAAGCTCAGGTAAAGATCCAAGAGAAGAAGAAAGAAACCCAGTGAGTTTCTTCTTAGGAATGCTAACAGAAACAACTTTCTGGTCTTTGCATGTTATACCATTCCAAGAACAGGGGGTTTCATCAGAATGGTTCCAACTGTTCATGGACCCTTCAGGGTCTTGCTGAATGGCATTCTTGAATGACATAAGCGCAAATCCTTCATTGTTCAAACACCCCACAAAACCATGAAAACTAAATAGACTTAAAATGAACAAAATTACAGTACTATTATCTAACATTTCCAAGAAAAGTGACCGTTGGAAATGTGTAAAAAAGGATGTGTTTTAAAGGGCTTACCTTTGTACACCAGGAAATCGAGTTGTTGCAGAGAAAGCTTAGAGAAGAACTGGGACTTGAGAGAACGTGAAGGAGAGAAAGAAAGGTCTGACAGGAAGTACTACTATTGAGAGCAGAAAAAAGAGTGATGGAGAAAGGTAAAGTTGGTTTCAGCTAGCAGAAGAAAAGAACAGGCAATATTATTGATTCTTTAGGGGGAAAATGAAAAATGGGAAACAAACGAAAGAGAAGGTTGGTGAGAGAATCTAAGCAAACAAAAATGAAAACGGAGTAAAGTTTTGTATAACTATTGAGGATGTATATTATTGCAAGTCAATAATGTATGGCTATATTTGGAGAGTGACATTTTCCCTTTTTTTTTTTGGGAATGGTTATAGTTTAGCATTAGGCGCGCTCCCAAAAGCAAAAGTTCTTTGCACGAGCTCATCACGTATTCAATAATCAATACTCTACATGTATAAAGCATTTAATGTTTTTCCATGCACACAATCCAATAATCAATACTTTACATACAAATGCTTTCGGGGATGATTCTTTTCTTTTAAAGATCAATAGTGAGATTTCTCTTAACTTTTTTTTTTTTTATGACTTCAACTTAGAACATATCAATTACAAGTGAAATACATTACCAATTAAACTCCATTTCATTATCAAACGGAAACGATACATCCCTATGGACAAATGAATTATATATAGTCTATTACTAGTACACATGCATGTAGTTGTATCTTTCTGTATTTTTACTTTGAACATCATTTTGTGAATTTGTGTATGCAATCAAACTGACATTTGTGTGTGTGTGTGTGTGTGTGTTTTTTTTTCTTACATTAGATGAAATGTCTTTAAAAAGAAGGCAAATTTCAATCAGGTTTAGCCCAGAAGTAAACAACGTTAGCATGGAGTAAAAGAAACATTTGACAGTCTGGATTTGTGTTAAAACAAAAAAGTCCCAGTCCCCTAGGACCGTTGAGGGAGGACATTGTGCAATGAGTACAGTTAATATTAAATTCACCAGGGAACTCCTTCCCAGTAGTTGCTTTGGTTCCTATAATCAACCAACCTTTTTGACTGCAAATGGTCCAATGAATTCAATATCAAAACATGCTAATCTAAGCCAGCTGCGCTTAGATTACCACATAATAGAGTATTAGTATTCCTAGTCCTAAAGCTGTCCCAAAATTGTACAGCAGTGCCCACCGCAGGTGAGAACCAATAGTGACTTTCCTGCTATGCCTGTGACATCCTTGTCCCTCTATCTGTAGTACAGTAGCTGGGGTGCAATGAGAGCCACTACAATATCAGTGAAAATTACACCTATATAGTTTAGATATTAAAGCAATAAATGTAGGTATGAAAATAATAAGTGTAGACATGAATTATAATTTTTGAACACAAATTTCAACAAATATGAATTTTTTTTTTTTTTGTGTTTTATGCAATTGTACTAGCATACGCTCCAGAGATAGTCTAGTGGTAAAACAGGCTTTGGACTGAATAAAGTTCGAGGTTCGAATTTTTCCTTAATCTTGAATCTCTCTTGTCTAACTTGGGTGCATCGTGGGAGGTCGCGGCGTATCTCCTAATTTGATGTATCGCTCAGATCTTAAGTGGCTCGAGTCAAGGTATATTCTAAATAAAAAAAATTGTATTAGCATACATTTATTACTTTAGTGCCTATATTTGTTTGGCTAGTATTTATTTCTACAGGGCTAAAACAAGAAAGTGGGGATGCATTGACTGACATGTGGGCTAAGAATGAAAGTAGCCGTTTGTCATGATGTAGCTGAGAATTTTTAGATAGGGAAGTAGAATATAAAATAATTAAAGAAATCACACCATTTAAAGATCATTTAATTATTCTTCGTGCCCAGAGAGTAAATAAAAGTTATTCTTTGCTGTTAAGAAAAATAAAATTGTGTTTCTTTTCCCCTCATAACTCAATCTATAATTATCAATTCGTGATTATTACGCTGTACCATTGAAAGCTACCAGAGGACCAATTCAAAGCCGTTGCAGGAATGGGATGATGATGCCAAGGACTCAAGAATGAGCTTTTGAATAAGGATATTCTATCTTGTAGCTCCAATAACGAAAGAAACCATCCATTATCATGCAAAGAATGCGTCCATAAAGGGTTTCTTTTTTTGGGTCAAAATAAAACTATTATATCTTTTAGGGAATGTACACTTAATGCTGAATTTATAATGTAGTAATCCATACGAATAAATTTTATACTGACATTTGTATCCATGATATATGTGTATGTTGAATTTTAAATTCAAAATTTGTATAGTTATTATTCATCTAAGTATTGATCGTGTATACATTGTCAGTATATAAAAAAAATTAATTCATCATTTTTTTTGAAACCGATAATTTTCTTTTCGTTTGTCAGAAAGATTCAAGCCACTTGATCAACATCACCAAATTAATTTCCTTTACAATATGGTAACTAAATTAATTTACTAAAGTGCTACAATTCTTACACTGAAGAGTACCAACTATATATATATTTTTTTGGCTGTGAAATAATCAACACATCGGCAGATAAATATGGTGGAATCTGGAAAGGTAAACCAAACAACTAACAGAGCCCAGAAGACGAACTTCCTATCTATTATCTAGCAACATACCAAAGCGAAACAGAGAACCTAAGGGAAATCAAATCATGAGGACTACTTTAATTTTAATACGCTAAGCTTCAGGTACTCTAAGTAACGACGAGAAGGGAAAAACCAGCTCCATCTTTGTCACGCCAGTTGACTTGGAAATTTTAACGAAGACTTGTGGAAAATTGCTGGTTGGTCCATATGAAAGGCAGGAATTTTCCATCCCAATTTCCACGACGACTTAAACCACAGAAAGACTTGACTCGTTTGACTCTTCAACAAAGAAAGTGCACTTCACGTTTTTGAACCACAGAACTCTAACCTTATGTGGACCTCAGAAATTTGTATAGATGGTTTTAACAACTCTGTTTCAGGTCCTCTTGATTGATCATCGAGAATTGAGTTCTGAGATCAGCTAATTGGATGTGTGATTTCATCTCTACCTAATTTTATATCATTGTTCCGTAATAAGAATCAGTCAAGACACATTCAGAAAAAGTTGCAGCTGTATAGGTGACTTCAAAACCAGGAAGTTTCTTGTTTACATTTTTTGAGTATTTTTTTTTTTTTTGTTTTCCCATACTGGTCCCTGGAGAAGGCATGGAGATTATTTGAAACTGTCCCTTCTCCCTAAAGTTCTCAAGGACTTGACTGATGTAGTGTGGCTTATGGCACCCATCCTTGCCCACCGGGGGCCAAAATCAAAAGCAAAAGAAGAAATAGACACAAAGGTAACAAGAAAAGAATTCCTTGTCAATTTCATGCAAATCTGTCACAAGAATTGATTTTTAGCAGCCAATCATGCACCTAATCTCCACAATCTCTATACCACTAGCTAGATAACATTTCTAGATTGTGGAACGTGGAACACAACCTGCCCCAACAAAATTAAATGGCTATGAAAAAGAAGGAAGAAGTGAAACAGAAAGAAACATTCTTGATCAATAAAATTAGCAGAATCATGATTGCCAAGGCCAGAAAAAAGCAAGTTGCAGCCTAATTATGTACCCTTAACAAGCACAAAATGATGATGTTTCTAATGCCATATAAATGAGCAATAACTTGTTGATGTTAGTAAACCATATGCTTCTTTTTAGCAGGAGTAAGACGACGTGTTTCTAACTCTTCTTAAACCCTAATCCATTGATTTTTCCTACGTTTCTGACTTCTAACTCAAGGAAGAAGGATGGTCTTTCTTTCATTCATTCAAGAATTGGCATTAGAGGGAGCCTCAAATCAACTTTCACGAATTCACATGACTTTCACTGTTTGGGCTCCTAATAAAGATATTTGTGAGGGAAAGGCACTAACTTGGGAGGCAACTATAAAGGAAGCACAACTAGTTAAGACAGATGAAAATTGTTAGAAATTCTATCATCACTGCAATTCCTTTTGTAGGGCTGAGCAGTGCAGAAACAAACCATTTCATTTCCTTCCAACCCAAAATAACCACTTCTTTCACATTCTTTGCAACTATTTCCACTCCATGTAAGTGTAAATCCATTTTCCAACAACTTTACGCAGTCTAAATTCTCTATTGATGAATTATTTGTCCCTCCTTCCAGGTCAACTGGTGCAGCAACATGAGACTGACAAGGCATTACACTAGAGTTGATCTCAATTTTTCCATCTTCTATAACAGCATAAGAGTGGTACGGAGTATCGGAAGCACAAAATGATGGGGTGCTGCCTATATTCAACTCAACAGGAAAGGAGCTGTTTCAATCGTTAAACAAGCAGAGATTGGCAAAATTGTGGCCAAATTTGACTGAAGACCGATCAAAAGCAAAAAGTTCCCGGGGAGCAATACATGCAGCATTCAGAACTTCAGCATTCACCAACCGGATGGATTGGTTTTGGTAGGTGGCACTCAAGAACGTACTCACTTCGAGATGTTAAATAAACAGGTTTGTTTCCTTTTCAGGATAACTCAAACCCTGGATAACCACAACAATCTGGATAATTTTCTTCTATGATCTGGACAGTGTAGCTTATCTGTGGACCATTTTCACAATTTCTAGACTTGCAGGCTTTGTATCTCCTGCCCACTGGTTCAACTGACTCTACCAAGATAATGTGCACCATAATAGACATGACTCTAACACGAAAGACAGTGCTGATTCTTAGCAAGCTGAGCTGAGCCATTACTAGAGTGGAAAGGGTCTGTACCATATGATATCTAAGACGTATATAATAACATCTGAGCTAAATTCAAAATAATTCAAGTCACCTTCAATGGTTAGCATTTTTGGTTTCTTACCAAAGTTTTTACTAACTTTGACATGGTTTTGTTGTCTCATTCTTGCGGCACTATTAAACAAATCTAGCATTTTTATGCCTCAATTGTATTCCTTTACCCTATCAGGGATCAGGGGTGGCTTAAACATGTCACTTGATTTTGAGTCCATTACAAAAAAAAAATCGTGCTCCAGACTTCAGACGTAGAATTATATCTTACTGCAGAAGCAGATAAGCCATTTTCGCAGCCAAAAAAAGAAAAAGAAAATAAAAACAGTAAATACCATTCATATCTTTGATAACAATATGGGATTGGCTAACTGAATGCGATTCATATCTTGATAGGCAGAAATTGTAAGCTATTATGTCCCCTAATGTAAAAGAGAGAATGGTAAAGGATGGAGACTGGGCGAGCGATTGTGTGTGTGTTTGCGTGTGGAATTTATTTTTCCAGGTTGACCTGGTGGAAGCTGGAGTTGACTCCATTTTCTTCCAGATTATGTTGAATAGCATGTTTTGTGAAACTGCTAACAGATTGCAGCAGTTAGTTGTTCACGTTGCTATTTTTAGGCAATAGATAAGTCAAAGTATTTGATATGATTTTGATTCTAGAATCTTATCTCTAGCAGATTTTTTTCCAGATTTTCTCTAATTCTGTTTTGTTTATGTTATATAAAAGCATGGCTTATGACTCAATAAAAATCAGACTTCTGCAATACAAAAGTATTCACTCTTGCTTTACCTTTTTCTGCTCTAATACCCAACAAAGTGGTACCAGAGCTCTCATCTTGAGGGATGATAGGGTGTTAATTGTTAGCAATTTTATTGTTAATTTCCCCTTTTATCCTTGCCAAATATTATTTTAATTATTAATATTTACTTATATTTGGTATTGGACCCAATTTCAGGGATTGAAGAAGAAAATTACCAAAAAGGAGGGACTTGTATGGAAAAATGCAGACTTCTAAGGGCTTCAACCTTTGGGTCCTTGAATTGGTGGGGACCACAATCTAGTGCAAGGCATTTAGTCATTTGGGTTTTTCAAAGAAAGCAACGTAGAGAGACTTGGAACAACAAGTACTTTGGAGAATTTGTCCACATGTGCGGGGACCACGGATAAGAAGCATGAGTCATTTGGACTCTAGGAAAAGAAACGTACAAAGCTTGTGAAATGGAATTGGACTTTGAATTTGGTGTGGGGACCACTAGAGATAGCATTAGACTTCCTTTTGGCTTTAAAAAGGGAAAAACGTACGAGAGGGGGAACACACGAGTTTTAGGCTTTTAGTTTAGTTTTTAGTTTTCTTTTCTTAGCTCTTTCGCATGGTTGTTCTCCATTAATGGAGGACTAACCTCTTAATTCTAGTCAAGGGGACAACTGAAGACTTGGTTCAACAATTACTGTGAGATTTAATTTATTTTAATTGCTTCCTTAATTTATTGGTATTTATATGTTTCCTGCTTTTAATTGCTATAGCTCGTGTGAGTGATTGAATAGATGTGCAATATTTAATTATTCACATAGGCTATTTTGCTAAATAGGGATAATTGAATCCGTAATTGTTCGTTATCTTTATCTCAGTAGCAACTGGCGTAATTGGGTTTATGTCAGGGGAACATACGATCTAACTTAAACAAACCCTCGTAGCGTGTTTGTTAGTTAGGATTGGATCTTTCTAATTATTAATGCAATCTAGAAATTAAACCCTACGGTCGTACCTAGGCTTGTTTTTGGGTTAGAGAAATAGTTAACGGTCGTACCTTAACTATCGAGAAAGTAAGGAAAGGTTGGTTGTTTATCGCGTGCAGGGCAACTATAACTAATCTATTAATAAATTTGAAATTATCTGTGAATCAATGATCAGTGCCTGAACCATTTCTGAAGTGTACCCTTGGCTAGAGTTTTCCCTTAATTATTTCTTTTAATCAATTATTTCCTGCAGTTAATTTATTTAGTTGGCATTTAATCCAAAACCCCCCATACCTTGGACTCTAGAAGAAACGAATTATCCCCAGTCCCTGTGGATTCGACCCTACTCACCGCTATATACAAAATCTGTATTTTTCTCGAGTAGGTATTTATTATTGTACAGGTTCGGCACCTGTCAAGGGATCTGTGAGGATTGAGAGAGTTTAAACACTTACCCTTATTACGATGAATCCAGAATTTTCCTCTACTTATCAACTTGGACCTCCCATATTTGATGGAACAAATTATCAAATGTGGGCTGTCAGAATGGAAGCGTATCTTGGTGGAAATGATTTGTGGGAGGCTGTAGAGGATGATTATGAAGTACTTCCTCTTCCAAACAATCCAACAGTTGCTCAAATGAAACACCATAATGAGAGGAGACAAAGGAAATCGAAAGCCAGAGCAAGTCTATATGCAGCTATCACATCCACAATCTTTACCAGAATCATGACGTTGAAAACAGCACATGAGATCTGGAATTTCTTGAAGAATGAATATGAAGGAGATGAAAAAATCAAAGGGATGCGAGTGTTGAACTTGATTCGAGAATTTGAGATGCAGAAGATGAAAGATTCAGAAACTATCAAGGTCTATTCCGACAGACTCCTTGACATAGTCAATAAAGTAAGACTCCTTGGTACTGATTTTTCTGATTCTAGAATAGTTCAAAAAATTCTAGTTACAATCCCTGAAAAGTACGAGGCTACAATCGCGGCCTTGGAAAACTCAAAAGATCTGTCAAGTATCACCTTGGCAGAGTTGTTAAATGCACTACAGGCACAAGAACAAAGAAGACTGATGAGGCAAGAAGGATCAGTGGAAGGTGCCTTTCAAGCCATATCACAATACAACAACAGGGGCAAGAACAAGAAAAACAACAAAAAGGTGCCTGGAAATAACAAATCTCAAGTATATCCACTTTGCTCTTATTGCAAAAAAACCAATCATCCGCAGAAAAGGTGTTGATGGAACCCAAATGTAAGATGTCACAAATGTGGTCAGTTAGGGCATGTGGAAAAGATATGCAAGTCTCAACAGCAACAAGAAGAAGCCAAGGCTGCTGAGTATCAACCTCAGGAAGAGCAATTGTTTGCAGCTTCATGTTTTGCTACTAATAGCTCCATGGAAAGCTGGCTTATAGATAGTGGTTCTACAAACCACATGACTTATGATCGAGAGCTTTTCAGAAAGCTTGATAAAACTACTACCACTAGAGTCCGGATTGGAAATGGAGCTTACCTTGCTGTAAAAGGCATAGGAACAGTGGCAATTGAAGGGTACACAGGTTTGAAATTAATTTCTGATGTTTTATATGTTCCAGAAATTGATCAAAATCTTTTGAGTATTGCTCAGTTGTTGGAAAAAGATTATAAGGTGCTATTTGAAGATAAAAGCTGCATAATTAAAGATCCAGAAGGAAGAGAAATGTTCAGAATTCAAATGAAAGGCAAAAGTTTTGTTTTGGATCTGATGAGAGAGGAGCAAGCGGCTGTACACAAAGAAATTAATGATGCAGCGCTTTGGCATAAGAGATTGGGCCATTTTCATCATGCTGCTCTGTTGTTCATGAAGAAAAACAACTTAGTAGAAGGTATGCCTGAGTTAGATGAAGAGCTTCCTACTTGTGCTGCTTGTCAATATGGGAAGCAATCAAGGCTTCCTTTTCCCCAAAGTACAACGTGGAGAGCTACACACAAGCTACAATTGATACATACAGATGTTGGAGGACCTCAGAAAACACCATCTTTGAATGGTAGTAAGTTTTATATTCTCTTCATTGATGATTACACTAGAATGTGTTGGATTTATTTCATGAAATTCAAATCTGAGGTTGCTGACATCTTTTGGAAGTTTAAAGCGTGGGTTGAAAATCAAAGTAGTTGCAGCATACAGGTGATCAGGTCCGATAATGGAACTGAATATACCTCAAAAAAATTCAACAAATTCTGTGAAGATGCAGGCATAGAGCACCAACTGACAGCCCCCTACACTCCCCAGCAAAATGGAGTGGTGGAGCGTAAAAATAGGACGCTTATGGAGATGACAAGATGCTTGTTACATGATAAAGGGCTGCCAAAGAAATTTTGGGCGGAAGCTATGAACGCGGCAATTTTTATACTAAACAGATTGCCAACGAAAGCTCTACAGAAAAAGACGCCATTTGAAGCATGGCATGGCTACAAGCCAAAATTGCTTTATCTAAAGACCTTTGATTGTTTGTGTTACTCTTATATTCCTCAGGTTAAAAGAGACAAGTTAGACAAGAAAGCAGAGTCGGGGATTTTTGTAGGCTATTGCTCATCTTCAAAGGCCTACAGAATCTATTCACCACAAAACAACAAAATAATTGTGAGCAGGGATGTTAAATTCCTTGAGTCAGACAGCTGGAGTTGGGAAAATGAAGATAAATTTGAAATGCAGGTAGAGAATGATGATGTCGATGAAGAACCTGTTAGAGGAACCAGATTACTCTCTGATATTTATCAGAGATGTAATGTTGCTGTTATGGAGCCTGCAGGATTTAAAGAAGCTACAATTGATCAGAAATGGATAGTTGCAATGAAGGAGGAGCTCAAAATGATAGATAAAAATCAAACTTGGGAGTTGGTGGACAGACCTACACACAAAAAGGTGATAGGTGTCAAATGGGTTTATAGAACCAAATTAAATTCTGATGGTTCTATAAACAAGCACAAGGCAAGACTCGTCGTTAAGGGATATGCTCAGATGTTTGGAGTAGATTTCTCCGAAACATTTGCTCCAGTTGCCAGATTGGATACCATTCGAATGTTGTTGGCTCTTGCTGCACAAAAGGGCTGGCTTATACATCAATTAGATGTTAAGTCAGCTTTTCTAAATGGATACCTGGAGGAAGAAATCTTTGTGGAGCAACCTGAAGGATTTGTTGTTCAAGGAAAAGAAAATAAGGTGTATCGTCTAAAAAAGGCATTGTATGGTTTAAAACAGGCACCGAGGTCTTGGTACAGCAGAATTGATGCACACTTGATGAACTTAGGCT